TTTAAAATAAATGGAATAAATCTGAGGCGAAACGTGGCGACTGAGCTGAAGACCTGACGCTGAACATCAAAGATGTGAAAACTGAACGTTAAACGCCTGAAGGCTGCAGAACATTCAGCTATTTGGACCCTTTTCAAAGATCCATTCTGTTGTTTGGCTTTAATGGTGCAGGTGGTCTGTAGATGGATTGTACCTGTCGGCCGAGACCAGGTCTGCAGGCAGGACCAAGAGTCTCCCAGGGGCTCCATTCTGCTTTTCACAGGAGGTCATGGTGGTTTGAGTCTCCAGTCTACATGTGATTTGTGGAGTTGAAGAAGGGACAAGGTCGTAAAGCTGGGGGGGCAGAATCTCTTTAAAAAGACGATCCGGTCTCCGTAGAACCAAAGCAGAAGCTGTGTCCATTCCTGGCACAAAGTCGAGCTGGTTCTGTGTCCCTGGTCTCTGATCCTCTTCATGGTCTTCAGGATCTCAAGGGACAGTCATGGAGAGGAGGGGATCTGGTTTGAGAACCTCAGGGTCTCGGCTTTATACAGATGATGTGGTTTTGTTTGCGTCTTTATGCCGTGACCTTCAGCGTGCTCTGAGATGGTTCGCACCTGAGTGTGAAGCAGTTGAGATGAGCCAGCTCTTCTAATCTGAGGCCGTGGTTCTCACCTGGAAAAAGGTGGAATGCTTCTCAAAGAGACAACAAAGTTCATGCTCAATCATCCAGGTACCAAATCCAACAATCCTCAGTCGGGTCTTCAGGACAGTTTCTTTTTTTATAGAGACGTTGAGGAGTTTACTGCTTGGTGGGGAAACAGTTTACTGGAACTCCTCTGACTGATGAAGCCCTCTGGATGGAGGGCGAAACATCTCAATAAAAATGAAACTGTCCAGATGACCCGACTGAGAATTACTGGCTTCTCAAAGAGGGTCGTGAGTGATTCTTTTCCTTTAAAGAGTTCAGGTAGATGGGGGAGATGGATCGACTGATTGGGGCCTCGTTCTCTGTAATGAGGCTGTTGCTTCGGTTTGTTGTTAAGAAAATTTTGAGTTTTAAGGCAAAGCTGTAGATTTATTGTTCTGGTTATGTTTTAACCCTCGCCCATGATCATGAGGAACCACCATTGGTTGGTTGGATGGATGGTTGGATAGATCATTGGATGGACGGCTGGTTGGATGGATGGATTATTGGATGGATGGATGATTGGTTGGTTGGATG